TTTCTTTCAAACTCACTGAAGTATTTGAAGAACATGTAACCTCCGTCTTTGCACTTCCTATCAGGAGGCTTAAAGTTTATTAACAAATACTTGAATTCTTGCAATATAGTGGATATAGCCATATAAATTCTGGTAGCATCCAGCAAGCAGCATATTCTGTTAGCAGCAGATGCTCTTAAGGAAAGCTATTCAAATTGTGAAAAGTTTTGTCATATGCCAACATAAATGAGTTAGGAAGAGATGAACAGATGACAAAAGTGAAGGGTGGTTTTTTTTTTTTAATAGCTGAACAGGTTCATTGAAAAGCTGACGAATGAAATGAAAGATGCTGGGAATTTGGAGGGAATACTGTTAACAGGGCTGACAAAAGATGGAGTTGACTTGATGGAAAGTTATGTTGACAGAACTGGAGATGTCCAGACAGCAAGCTACTGTATGCTACAGGTTAGTGTTTCACTTGAAAATAAGTCTTTATATAGGAGAACTAAACACCGTTTCTTTAGCAGTGTGGTACTGAATCCTGTGAACTAAAAAGTATTTTCTATAATAAATTGGGATGATATATATCATGCCTGTTTTGCACAGGCAAATGTTAACTAGAAATGTGTATCTTCACTCTCTCTAGTTGAGATAGCTTGGGGAGATAGTAGGGGGGAGAGGCAAAACCAAAACATAGTCCTTTTCACTAGCTGAACTGGCGATACGCATTGCCCTGCTCATTGCTGATGTATTTCCTGACAGGTTCATTATTTTTTTGCTTCCACGATTTTGATAGAGAACTGAGGTGAGGGGTTTTTGTTTGTCTGTAAGTATTTGGTTTGGGGTTTTTTAAGATGGACTTGTCTTGGCCCTTACACAGTTGCAGCTATTGCCATCGCTGTGTTTAAATCCATATGTAATCATAACAATGATATAGATTGCGATATGTGACAGAATTTTATAATCCTTCATCTGACAGACACAAGTTTTTAGGAGGACATGGCAGCATGTGTATTTTCAACCAGAGAGCGGCAGACTGAAGAAAATTTTTATCAAACTCACATTACAGTTTAACAGAAAACTAATCTTCTACGCAGATTACACTGTATTATTTCTCATATCTTGTAGTACGCTTTGTAAAGCCTTTTGGAAAAGTGAACAATATGTATTGTTTATCTTCAGTGTTTGTCTGACATTTTTTCCCGCCTGCTTTAGGGTTCTCCATCGGACGTACTTAAGGATGAGAGGGTTCAGTACTGGATCGAGAACTACCGGAATCTTTTAGACGCTTGGAGGTTTTGGCATAAACGTGCAGAATTTGATATCCATAGGAGTAAGCTGGATCCCAGTTCAAAACCATTAGCCCAGGTAAATGTAATTCTTGTATGAAGTATGAGCAATCCCAAAAGGAAGGCAGCATGGTACTTCTATAGAAAAAGTTGGCTGCACCTTGGCTTTCGTGAGGATTCATTTGCAAAAGAAAGATTTCAAGTAAGGCTGCCATAAAAAAGTAACTGTGGGTTTTTTTTCAAAACAGGGTTTTAGAAAGGACTTAACTGTTTTGCTAGTGTACAGAAATATGGTAAACAAAGCTACATTTCTTCATATCTAATCTAGGAAATCAGCTCCTTACCATTTTATTTATATTCCTTTTTTTTTTTTTTTCTTAAAACTTTTTCTTTCAAATGACAGGTTGTCTTTCAGAAACTGTAACTTTTTCACACTTCTTCTGGGGAAACTGGTTTTTTTTTTCCCTCCCATGTTGAAAAACAAAATCATAGATGTATCATCCAGCTGAATTCTGCAACATGGTGAGGATAATGCTGAAACCAGGGAATTGAACCAAGAACCAGTTCACATTGGCTCTGTTTTAATTGAAGCAAACCTCAAAGCTATTTTGAAGCCCTTGAACTTTAAAGTGAAAGTGAACAGTAGCAACGTTCATTAACAGTTCTGAACATAAGCTAAACCCAAAACTGATGCCCGGTCCAAGTGCTCTCTACTTAACATCTGGGAGCATCTTTAGCCAGCATGGTCTTACCACAGCACCCTCCACTCTCTTGTGTCTGCTACGTACGTGCTTTACAAGCCTTAGGGGCCAAGGGTTTCTAAGGAAGGCTGTTTTGGAATTCATATATCCGTTACAGCTGTTGAAGGAGAGCTGCATCCATACTGCTCCAAGTGGGAGGGAGTTGAGTTTCCTGTTCCTTCCTTATGCGATTGACAGAAATAGCCCTTAAAGAATTTAATGTGCTTATTGATATCAAGTCACAACTTGTGGCATAAGGAAAATCCTCATGTTGGGGACTCTAGAGTGGGTCACCTGACTCTAAAGAGGGAGAGACCAGATTTAATTAAGTAAACTTAATTTCTTCCATTACTGCAGGTATAGCTTTTTATTATTGTAAATAATAACTTCCTAAATCTTGGCAATTGTGCTTGGCTTTATGTGCTTTTGAGGTAAGTGGGCATCATTAAGGCCTGCTTCTTGGGACTGTGTGCCAAATCTATAAGTCTAGATGTTAGGAACTCCATGGGTAGCCTTGGCTTTCCAGGACATTCTCTAGAATATCCAGTAAATAAATCTTTGCTAGCTTGAACAAATTCACTCATAGTTGTAGCAAAAATGGCACCAAACAAACAAAAAAATTTTTTTTGTTCTCTTTAGGTGTTTGTGAGTTGCAACTTCTGTGGAAAATCAATCTCCTACAGCTGTTCAGCTATTCCTCATCAGGGGCGAGGTTTTAGCCAATACGGAGTTAGTGGTTCACCAACTAAGTCAAAAGTTACAAGCTGTCCCGGTTGCCGTAAACCCCTTCCTCGCTGTGCACTTTGTTTGATAAATATGGGAACACCAGTTTCCAGCTGTCCAGGTATGACACAGTGGGTTTTAGTTATTCAGCCAGAGTACTAATTAGAGGCCTAATTAACAGTTCCTGTATGTCTCAGTCCTTTGGTGTCAGACAGTATGCACAATTACTTGGTTTGGACCGCTTTGCCAGTGAGATTGTCTGTGAAATTCCATGGTTAGACAGATGAAAAGATTCAAGTATTGTGGTGGTTAGTATTGTTAGCCTTAAAACAGTAAGAAATGGGAAGTGAGATTCTTGAGATGAATTGTAGGGATACTACCTAAATCTTGGAATGTAAATGAACTGATTTTCAGCTGGAAGAGGAAGAGAATAAATTTAATGTGATACACTTTATGTCACTATAAAAGAATGTATGGATCATGCTGTCACAGCTAAGAGATATTATGACTGGAATCTCTTGGTTCTAAACACCTTGGGCTATGTGTTATACAAGGTCTAACTTAAACTGATTTTGTCCATATTTTTAAGTCAGTCTTATTATAGAGCCATGCACAGCTGTGCAGTTGTCATATATTTGTATCTCCTCATTCTTTCACTGATCTGTTATGACTTCTTTATTGTGAGTGGTCCAATTCATAACTTTTAGATTTTTGCTGCTTTTTGTATATGTATATATATAATTGTTATATATTTATATTTAAAGCAGAACATTTCTTGTGCAGTAAAGCAGGTCTGTAATTCACTGGAACATAAATCAATCACTGAAACATAAATCACTGGTGAAAGAGATTCTGTCTGTAAAATTTGTTTAATAGGCAAGTTTAACTTCTCTGTAAGATGTGAAGCAACAGCTCAGCAATACAGTTCTTGTTTTGACTTTCCACCAGTTCTTCTCTGTTTAATAATTTTACTGACTTCTCTTTTAAAATCAGGCCACTTTTTTTTACATGATGCTCCTAATTTCAAATTTGTTCTAATGGTGTTACTGGGACTGAAATATAAATGAAGCACAATGATTTACATGCATATTTGTGGGGATGGGTTTGCCTCTACGCAGGAGGATCCAAGTCAGATGAAAAAGTGGATCTTAGCAAAGACAAGAAGTTAGCCCAGTTCAACAACTGGTTTACTTGGTGTCACAACTGTAGGCATGGCGGACATGCTGGGCATATGCTTAGCTGGTTCAGGTAAGTTGATGTTAAAATCTTTCTTATTTCATGATTATCAAAGTGCTGGAGCACCTCTCCTATGAGGACAGCCTGAGAGAGTTGGGATTGTTCAGCCTGGAGAAGAGAAGGCTCTGGGGAGACCTTATAGCAGCCTTCCAGTACCTAGAGGGGGCCTACAGGAAAGATGGAGAGGGACTGTCTACAAAGGTATGTAGTGATAGGACAAGGGGTAATGGGTTTAAGCTGAAGGAGGGTCGATTTAGATTAGATGTTAGAAAGAAATTCTTTACTGTTAGAGTGGTGAGGCACTGGAACAGGTTGCCCAGAGAGGTTGTGGATGCCCCCTCCCTGGAAGTGTTCAAGGCCAAGTTGGATGGGGCTTTGGGCAACGTGGTCTAATGGAGGGTGTCCCTGCCCATAGCAGGGGGGTTGGAACTAGATGATCTTTGAGGTCACTTCCAACCCAAACCATTCTGTGATTCTATGATTCATGTGTGTATACTGCACTGAGTAGGATCTATCATTACAGTGTTTTGTTGGTTTAGAATTTATGGAAAACTTAACTATGATGCTGAGTGTTTCTGAGATACTGTGTGCCTGCACATACTTAAATGTATAGATTATCAAATTCTTGTTAGTTTTATTTTATGTGTTTTTTCTTTTTTCTGCTATTGCCATCTAGGGACCATACTGAGTGCCCGGTTTCTGCCTGCTCTTGTAAGTGTATGCAGCTGGATACAACAGGGAATCTCATTCCAGCAGAGATGGTCCAGGCATAAATGTTGTTGGAAAATGTGGAACTCTCTAATGGATGTCCATCATAGTCCAAGCATATATTTTAGACAAAGGTCATTTGTGACTTACAGTGAAAAAATAAATTGCTATCAGATTAGTAAAATGATGTGTGTATGACTGTGCTTGGTAGAAATCAGTAATTCCTGAAATGAGGAATGTGGTCCTTCTTCAGAGGATTGAAGCAGTTCAAAAACACTCCTGGAATTGTGGGCTCTCTGGATTTGCTAAAATCCAAGGAACTTTTTAATAAAGTGTCAGGGTAATGCTGATCGACCCTTTAATTTGTTTTGTGAACAAAGCAGTATTTATATGCTGTGAAAGTGGATTTTCAGAATAAACACCTGAAAAGTATTCTTCAGAAGACTGCAAAGTGATGCTGCGGATTCCTCTGTTCATTGTTTGATCACACTTTCTTGTATGCAAACAACTGTTTCCTTCTAAGTTCATTCAAAGTGTCACTGTTAATTGTATTCTGAAGAATTTTATTTTAAAGAAAAATCCATTGCTTTGTCCCCAAGTTTTGTTAATAGTAAAGCAATATCTTTGCAATTCAAGGTATTATTTAATTTACCTATATACCTAGCTGATGTGAATTTTAATGCGAAAGAATTTGGAGGTTTTGTCTCCTAGTTATGCCTATATCCTAGAGAAGAGTTCCCTGAAAAATCGTGTCTGTTTCAGTGCAGAGTGCAGGTAAACTATAGGAGGTTTCATTTGATTGATTAATTTTAATGTAGTACTGTGAAGATCTGACATCTCAAGGACTGGAGACTTGTAAATATTTAAGTTTTAAACTACATGCTGAGCTTTGACTACAAAAATATTAGAAGACTTTTAGATAATCAGCATTTCCTTCTGAAATATGCTGGGAAGTGTGAAATCCACCTATATAAATCCTGCTTCTGGTCACTAGCGGACACCAGTCTGCTCCCAGAAGGCTGCACAATTTTAGGTCATCGACCAGAAGTAGTTCTAGATGTGTTACCAGCTGGAATTTATTAACTTGAGAGAGTCAATGATATTTTGCTAATACTGTGCTAGGAGCTAATTGGTATTGTTGTCCTTGGTTTTGTAGGCAACAAAATTCACACAAATTAGGGGGAAAAAACCTGTTTTAAGGTATGTGATAATAACATCAGTTTACTTGGTGTGTGTTTATTTACTTGTAGAAACAATATATGAGTTACTTAACACTTGCGTGCTATGAAATACTAAATGGAATGCTAGCAATAAACTGGTACCATATTGCCAGGACTGTGAAAATTGGTGTTTTAAAAGAGAATATATTGTAATATACCACTAGTTCTAAGCACTCTCGTGTAGTTGCAACAAGGTAGAACATGGAAATGTTTTCTGTAGATGTACATGATTACATTCAGGACTTTGGGTTGTATTTTCTCATTTAGCATTAATGTTGTAATACATCTGCTACATTTATTCTGATCTAAAATTCTTGCCTAATTGACAAAGATCTTTTTTAAGTTAAAAAATCGAAGAGGTACTTGATATTTGTAGGCATGGGAGAGCGGTTACTTGTTTTTTTCTTGTTAGAATATTTATTTCTCTCTCCAGTGTTTTTGCACACTTCATGTTGCTGTTCAAAATGTTATCCATCTATAAATGTAAACTGGGGTTTAATGTATAATACCCTATTTATATAAATACAGGCAATAAAACTTTTGCTTTATGGAAATAAGGATTTGTAAGTGTCAAAGATACGTTTTTATTCTTCTGTAGTAACAATGTTTAGTAAGTTTTCCTAATAAATTCCATGTCCAGGTAAATGCAGCTACTAACTTACAATGTCTCATTTTCTTATGTAAAGAAAACTCATTTGTAATGTTTTTGACTTGACTTTACCTGTTTTTGTCAAATTCTGTAATTTCATTAAATTCTATGCTTACTTTGAGACTCGGCATGTTTTTGAAAAGTTTTGGATTATGAATGTGCATGTTCTGGCACAGTGTAACTGTTTTGGCTGTTGTAATTGGTAATCAGGCTCTTCAGGCCAGTAATTACACTATTTGCAAAACTTACACAGAAAGAGGTGTATGTTTTTTAATGGTCAGATTTGTTTTCCTTGTTTTGCTTTTAAGTTAATAAAGCTGTGATTTGGAGGGTTATTTGTTGTCTTCTAACAAAAAATACAGCTACAGACATTTTATTAGCTGCAGTTACTTTTACATTTACTGTTTTCTACTATCTTCTCCACTCTGATAGTTAACTAGATGAAAGTGGCTTTGCATGCTAAAGAGTTTTGACCCAGTTCATGCTGATTATATTTCATTATTTTCATTTCATGATACACTCCAGCCTTGGCTCCCTTCCCTGGTAAAGCACAAGCACTTTTTCATCGTACGCACGGCCTGCTTGCACATGAGCACAACGTGAATTGTGCATGTGTCCATGCCTGAGCAAGGACAGCAGAGCCGGGCTGGTGATGATGATCAGGCTCAGCCGAGTCCAGTGATTGCCAGCCGACTCCACAGTGACACCCCAACCAGGCTTTTCCTACGTGGTACTTCACTGCACAGCTGTGTTCTGGTGGCCTCCCTCAGGATCCCCACTAGAACTGAATTTCCCCAAAGAATTTACCAAATTTCAGTCTGTTCCTCCATTTCAGACTCAGGGACTGAATTGTACAAATTCTCTGTACCTTAACCAACTGGGACGTAAAACCATTCTCCCTCTGGGCTGTGAGAGCAGAGAGGGAAGTCACAGCAGTGTGCTGGCCCACAAGGAGGGCTGCTCCTGGCTTTCTTACCTGGGAGTCCTGTCCCACTGCTACGGGGCTTTGTGCAGGAGCAATGATGATTTCCATGTCCACCAGAGTCACCAGGGAGAGGTTTGGCTGGAGGAAGTGGCGAGGGCACCTGGATTGCAGCATGGCCCTTGTCCAGCGACAATCTCTTGACTTCACAGAAGGGCCGGTGGGAGGGCAATAGCACAGCTGCTTCCCAAACCACAGAGATCCTGTCTGTAGGTCCCCTAAATAAAACTCCACCTCTGTTTCATAATTTTTTACAGTTTAGCCTGCTGGATGGCTAACACAGACTGATAGTTTAAGAATTACTTCTCAAAACATAACTCTCCAACTTCAACACAGTATTGTTTGTTTCGTGAAGAGTGGACCACCCAGCAGCCCCTGCAACACAGCAGGCAGCATCTCATTTTTTAAGCGCTTTGTAACCAGCATGTAGCGGAAACTTTTAGTTGTCAGCTGCTTGCCGAGCCATGTCTCATCGCTGTGGGACTGGATGAACAGGAGTCTTGACTGACAGGGAACTGGTAGCGTTTCCCACTCGGCTGTGCTCAAGTATTTACACACAAGACCAGCTATCCAAGGATGTGTGTGGGTGAGGCGCTATAGCCATCTAGTGGTAGGCTATTGTCTTAGGCCTGGGTAGTCTTGGTAACTCGCTGCATGTAACATTTTACAGAATTATCTATCATCTGTGCACAAAATATAAATTTGCTAAAGTAGAATAGTACAAAATACTTTAAAATGCTAGGAATACACACGTAGTTATTAAGAATGACATTTTATTCTACTGAGCACTAAAATACTACTAAAATAGCAGTAGAGGACAGAGCATGGTATCATGCCACGTGGACCTACTTCAGAATGCCTTCTCCTTCCCTGTGACAGTAACTTTGTCATTGTCTGTCTTCCAAGTAGAGAGGGGGAAAAATAGGTCACCTGTTAACTTTAACTTTGATACATAAGAAGTCTTTAAAACATAAATTCCTCGACTGAAAATGGATGTCTATAAATAAGCACAATGCTAGCAATTGTAGTAAGGCACTAAATCTAGCTATTAAACCTGAAACCTCTTTGTATGAAAGGTTAATGACCATGGCTAAGGTTTATTTAAAATACTTTGCTGTATTTTATTTATTAATTTGCAGAGAATGTTTACTTTGACTGTGTTACCTGAAGAGATGTTAAGAATTCTGCTATGTGCTGTAAGTAGCCAGGATTGTAACAAAATTGAGAACTGTGTGGAAGTGTGTATGATTAAAGTCATGACAATCTGGCTGAATCTGGTACGTCTGCTTAGAGTCCCACCAGGAATGAAGGTTGTGATGGGAACTCAATGCTTAAAATCCCCAAACCTAACTAGACATCTTCCAAGTGTTTAACATCAGTGCAAAAGGAAGTACCTTATAACTCCACTTTGTTAAAATTACCTGTGTCAGGTAAAACAGAAGTCACCATGTATCACTGAAAACAGCACTCTAAGATATAATATTGACACAAATAGTTAAATGTAGTCTGATTTTTTTTATTGGAGACAATTTTCAAGATGCAAAACACCCCCCCATGTTCAATAAATTTATATCAAAGCAAATGAAAAAACAAAAAAAACCACTTTACATTAGACTCCCACCAAATGTCTTTGATAGGAGTTTCTTGTAAAGTACCCTAGAACCTCTACAACAGCAACAAAAAGGTGCCTACAAAACTTCAGTTTCTAGCAAGTCCAATCCTGCAGGAGAACACTCCTCATGGATGCAAAAGGGTTAAATATATACAGACAGTGAGACATCCACAGAAGTGCTCTCCTCCTTGCTGAATAAATACATTTTCAAAGAAAACATTCTTCATTGGCAATACATGGCACATGGAACAGCATCTTTTCAGTGTGTTTGTTGGAAATAAATGCAACTGTTACCATGCTGTCAGGCAAGAAAGCTACAGTACTGTTGTCCCCTCTGAAGCTCTAGATATATGCCAAGAAGAAAATCAGTTGTTTCTCCCAGTACCAAATGGGAAATATTCAGGGAATTCATGAATAATTTTTATTGCTTCATTGTAGAGTTCCAGATCTGAAAGACGGCAAAGAAATTGGTTATGATGCATAAGCTAAATTCCCACACAAGCAAATGACAGCATTAAAGCACTGCTTATTTTAAAGCAGTATAGTGGAGAATTCCCAGTCTCCCTTCTCCTCCTCAGTTTTCCCAAGGCAGCCATGCTCTCATTGCTTGCTTTCTGGAGGGTTATTTTTAAGCCTGCTAGCTGCACAGTCACACAAGGTCCAGGGCAAGGCAAGAACCACACGGTCAGGGCTGGGAGAGTGATCAGACCATGGCAATGATCTAGACTGGCTCCCGCTTCGAGCCAGTCCCTACAGTTTGACAGTAAAACGGTGTATTTTGTACAAAATTTTCCCCATGACAGTCTCCTTTTCTACATTCTACTCCATACCTGGCAGTTTGAAGAAAGACCTTGTCTGTAAGACA